TCGATGTGTTCACTTACATCCGCCTCAGCGCAGTTGTGGTACGCTCACAGAGCGATCTATAAAATAATTCCACAAGAAAGAGGTTTGGTTGCAGCACTTTGCATCAGGCCAAAAAAGAAAAGCCATGCACCGGACTGACTTTAGCCTGTGCAAATTAGGTGGTCTCTTATCCCATAACAGCATAGTAGTGAAAACGTCAGTAAGCATTGGTTCTTAGCTCTCTGATTTAGCAGAGATGGACTTTGAGTCTTGAAGATTATTGCAGTGAACAAGACTGTCACTACCAGATCCGTCCCAGAAGCATGATCCGTCCTGCTCATGTGCAAACAGATATACATCCGGGTTTCCATAAATAGTGTAATTATGGTACTAAAATTACCTATTTCTATCCTTAACTCTCTAAAGAATGCTAATACTCATCTTTAAAAAAAAAATGTCATTACTTTTGTGAGGTAGTTGTGATGCTTTTTACATTTTCTGCGTTAAACTGCTTCTCTGACTACATCAGACATGCTGTTTATCTGCATTTTAATTGTTTCTTTGTTCAGGTTACGCACTATATACCGTAATTTTAACACGGAAAAAAAACCATAAAACTCAAAAGACTAGATTTATGTTTAAATCCAAAGCCGAAAACGTTAGCTCCCAAAAGTAGCGTCGGATCGCATTTCCGGTGCAGAGACAAGTGATAAAACAGAAAGGATTCTAAGACATTTATTTTCTGAGGATATTCATTATTAACATTTAACACATCATAGTTTAGTATGTTTACTATTTTGGGGGAGGGAAAAAACGTCATTCAGGTCTTTTTAACAAATAAAAATCGAGGGCCATCCGGATGTATATCTTGATGTGCAAATGAGGTTATGGCGCAGAGCAGATCGTGCTTCCGGGACAGATCGGGTAGGGACAAAGACCTCTAAGGTGGTGCTCACCTTCAAAAGACAAATGGCCTTCATCAGCATTCATCCAAACGGACCTTTTACTCTTAATGCTGAAGCATTTTTGTTTTGAGTCACAATAGTTTCATTCTTAAGATCGGTATGGTTTCCTTTTGTTCCAGTGGGGCTCCTTTCACTTTTCTCACAATCATTCATTGTTTCTTTTCATTGCTCCCCTAACAGACTGTGTAGCAGTATGTTTAGATCTAGATGTTTGAGCAGAACCTGTAAATGTACCCCACAGAGCAGCAGCTTTTCCTGGCAGAGAATGCCAGCAGCTCTGAACTTTAAGGCTCAGTGTAAAAACCTGATAGCCCAGCCCATTTTCCTCCATCAAACTTTTCTCCCAGACTCCTGAAATGAGTCCAATGTTTGCTCTCCTTGCTGATCCTCATATATGGATTACATGAGGGAAAACTGCTTACGTTGGACTGCAAAGAAGCATGCAGTCTTTATGTATGTGTGAACATATAAAGGTCTTAAACGTGTTGGCTAGCAGAAACCATGTGCATGTTCTTTTTAGTAAAATGTCGCACCTATGGATGAGTTAAGACTGACAGATTTAAGTTTAAAAAAAAAAAAAAAAAGATAATTTCCAGTTCTGATTTGGATGAACTTGAGATGGTTTTGAGCTCAATCTTTAGTTTGACCTGCATGTCACTGCAGATCTTCTCTGGCCAAAAAGCTTTGGTGCATTTCTCATCTTCAGCACTTAGAAAGTCCAGACTGTTGTGATTTGGTTAGTATTTGTAGAGAGTGCAGGGTTGCTTCTTTAGGTTATGTTTTTGTGAAAAACAAGCCAAACAGTTAGCGTGGTGCTAATGTTATATCGTGACATGGTGAAAGAAATAGAAAATGGTTTATGTGACGTTTTGCTTCACAAATTTAAAAGAACCATACCAAATTTAATGCTATAGAAAATGGGAGAGTGAAGATTCATTGTAACGTCCTATGTGCTTTAAACTGAAATTGCATAATAATCAAAATTGTTCTTCATATGATCTTTTTTACCACCCATACATAAATTTGTTTCATTCAACAGAGTCCTTTAAAAACGGCACAAAAATATTTTAAATTGTCTGTCTTTAATAAATAGATTATTAAATAGTGAATTAATCTAACTTTGATATCATCCACCATTTTCTCAAAAGTCTGAGTTTTCTTTTTTATGCGTAGATTGTTTCCATGGCATTAAGAGCAAAATCTTTTTTAACAACATTCCTATTTAACAAAACAGGAACTTGTTATATTATTGAATAGAAAGATCAATAAAATATGTGAAACACTTCTGATTTTGAATATGCAGAGATGTAAAACTATCATTAAAAGACAGGGTATGTCGCTCTAACATGATGTCAGACTAGTAGTGCCTTTAAACAGGAGGTTCTGGTTGTTACCATAGACGTGTTCAAACGTGGCTCCATGAAGCTCATTAGCTTACAAAAGCATTACTACCATCCTATTTCACCTTTTTTTATTTTTTTATTTATATATTTTTATTGTCATTACTCTGTCACAAGTACAGTGAACGAAGTTAACTCTCTGCATTTAACCCCATCCCCTTGGGGAGCAGTGGGCTGCCATTGTCTGGCGCCCGGGGAGCAGTGTGGCCTTTATGGTCTTGCTCAGGGACCAAGAGTGGCAGTCCATGAAATGTGTGGGACTTGAACTCAGGACCTGCAAGCCCATGCTCTAACCCGAAGGTCTTCAACAGGGGTCCACCTAGGGGGTCCACAGAGGTACTGGATTGGGATCGCAAAGTTTTGGTTGATTAGACTTTTTTTCATATTCCCCCCTGCAATTTTCCCCCCTAATTGAAATGTCTTTAAATCCACGTTAACATGAATTCAACACACTTTAGTAAACAGATAAATGGAGGCAGAAGATGTCCTTCAGTCATCAATGCACACATTCAGTGACACACAGGAGCTCTTTCAAGCTGGGCACCATTTCATTCACAACACCTGTCCCATCAACCAGGAATCACAATCAGAAATACTTTAATGATCCCAGGAATATTCATTACACGACTCCATCTGTAATAGCAAGACTATAGAACCAGTTTGATATAACACAATTGCATACAATATATATAATTAGGGGGTCCCTGCTCCATATCACCATCAGTTTGGGGGTCCTTGACCTGGAAAACATTGAAGACCCCTGATCTAACCACTAGGTCACCACCCACATGCTAGCATCTTTCTATTAGGGCTGGGTAAAATAAAATCGATTTAATCAATTTTGAATCAATTGCTTTACATTTTTGCAAAATTGATGTCTAGGGAATGAGATCGATTCATTTTATAGTGACGTTTGTGACGTTCACATTCAAATGAGCAGGAAAGATGCACTTAAGATTACTTCAAGCTGCAAATCAGCAAATATAGCCAATAGGTTGACTGAAGACATTAACAAATGGGGGCTGACCAGCAAACACCCTGTGGTTGTTACAGACAACGCTGCAAATATGGTTTGTGCATTGAAGTTAATGCAGCTCATGAATGTCTGCTGTGTCACGTCTGCTTGCCCGAGTGAGGCTTCACTTTTTTACTTTTCACAAACAAGTTTTCACTTACGAGACATTTTTGCTGCTCTGGCCTTCCAGCTTCCTTCTGCTCTGCTTTGTCCTGAATTGTGCCTGATCCGAACCTGGCAATGCATCTCCACAGCATCATGCTGCTGCTTCCATGGTTTGCCCTAGAGGTGTTGTGAACAGGGTGATATATTTGTGTTTTCCTCCACATAAAATGATTCACGACTCTGCCTTAAACTTTATTTATTAGTCAGTTTACCCTTTTCTATACATTTGTCGAATTGGTGGTTTCTTTTAAAAAGACCACATGATGTTTAAGGCTCTATCCCACAACCCAGCATAGATAAGTTAGCATAGATCAGGGGTAAAAAGTAAAAAATCAGCAGAGTCTGAATAAAGAAAATCATAAACCAGTAAAGGTAAGGAGACATTTTTAATTATAATCTGTTACTTTAAACAGAATTTAACATTGAAATAAAATGTGTTTTTTAATGCATCCATGTTATACATTGAGTGTTTAAATAAAAAAAAAACATCTATAAAAAAAAGATAATTTTTCCATTTTAAAATGGAAAGTGTTTTTTAAAGTAGAGTTCAGTTTGGTATTTAGCCAATTTCCTGATTCACATATTTTATAAAACGCCTGAACTGAGTTTTTTATTTGATTTTTCCCTTTTTTATTGCTTAATGAGAGCAGTGGGCTTTAGGCTTTAAACCTGGGTTTGAATGGTGACAAAGCCATTCTAAAGCATAATCAAGGTGCTCATTTTGAGTCTGGGTCCATATTTATTTTTGATTAAGTTCATGATGGAGAACCCTGTTTCACAGCAGTAGAATGAGCCAAACATACTCAACATTTTCAGGATCATCTTTGAGCACGCCATTTCACTTTTCTCTCACCAGTTCACTGCTGTTCTCCCAGCAGTCCAAACTTTCTCTGCTCTCTTTTTCTCATCATCTTCTACTTCTTTCCCATCGCTCGGCTTGCCACAGGTTTGCCTGCTGTGTCTATAAGTAGCAGCAGCAGCAACCCAGACTGAAAGCAGCTCATTGGATAGTTTGTATCACGTGCAGCCTGGGCCTCAATGCTTTGTAGGGCTTTACCATGTTAACAGGAGAAGCGGCGCAAGTGAAGTTAGACACTGTCGTCGGACAACACGCGGTAATTTATAAATGTTTGAAACCAGGTTGGGTCCGAACTAGCCAGTAGGTGGGTCCGGATCTGGACCTCGGTCCGCTAATCTGTGACCTCGGTCCACTAATCCGTGACCACTGGCAAAGACTGTAGATAGATGAGAAGATCATGTTCTTGTTGCAGTTGAGCTTCTTGATTTCCTGGTAGGGGATCAAATGGTTCTGTGTGAAACTTCCAAAGCCTTGACTATTGTTTTATAAGCCAATTGTCCTTTAAATATCTCTAAAACTGTCTCCTTGACCCTTTATAGTTTAAAGGTATGAATACTTCAGCTGTGCGAGTGTGAAATTCAGGCCACTTTTTTAATGTCCTGTTTTGTCTCTTCAAGGTCCGAACAAGGTTTGAACTGAAGTCCCCAGTTAAGACCATTGAAGACTTCATCAAACGCTTCACCCCCAGCCGCCTGACCTCGGGCTCCAACAGCAGCAGCTCATCAAGTCTGAACCGCTCCTCCAACAAGGGATGCTCCAGCTTGCTTCCGTCTCCTTCAGCTGAGAGCACGCTAACCAAACTAAACGAGGAGCAGCTCTCCGGCACCTTGGAGCACACCTTCACCATCGATCCACCCTCCTACGACGGAAAAACCTCTGGGAACCCTGAGGAAGGAGAGCTGCGCTACGAGGCGGAGTCGCCTGATGAGGCTGCGTTGGTCTACGCAGCCAGGGCTTACAAGTGCTCCCTGGTTGGGCGCCTCCCTGACCAGGTTACGGTGGAGCTGCCTCACTTGGGGAAGCTGAATTTCGAGCTGCTGCACACACTGGGCTTCGACTCCACCAGGAAACGTATGTCGGTGGTGGTGAGACACCCGCTCACTGATCAGATCACGGTTTATACCAAAGGAGCAGACTCCGTCATCATGGACCTCATCAAACCCTCTGAAACGGGTAGGGAAATCATCACTTCCTGCTGCTTTTATTGTCATTTTTATACTACTTAATCTGATTTGGATGATAATCTTCTTCTCACTGTGTTCTTCAACCTCAGCCAGGCTCTTGGTGCTTTAGGAATAAGGTTTTGCCTTAAAGCTGTGGTTGTATGTTAAGAGTTGTTTTCTGCATGAAGGTGAAAACTTAGTTTGCTGCCTCTGAATACCTATCTCCAAGGATTCAGCCTCTTCCGTCAACTCTGATTGGTTAGCTTTATCCATTTCTCCTGTATAATAGGACCTCCCTCAGCATGATACTGCTGCCGCCATGTTGTACTGTTGGTGTTCAGTGATGATGTAGCACATATGTAAATCTCGCTACTCTATAGAGTCCAGACATGTGGATTGCTTGGCTATTACTTGTTCTGTCCACAAAGTTAAAATAAGACCCTGGACTTTTTTTCCAAGTACGAAGATGTTTCTCTTCCCATTTAGGAAGCTTTTTCAGAACCAAAAATTTGCGCCCAGTTTAAAGCTTTATATCGTAGCCCAAAAAATGTTTTGGCTTAGAAAACATGCAAATTGAACCAGAAGAATGGGTCAGCCCCTTAGGAAAGGGGAGTCGTTTTGGGTTCTTTGTCAGCCTACAATGCCAGATACTGGTTTATGCCTCTGAAAGGGGGGCACTAAGGGGAATTGATAGTCTGGCTGCAGACGAGCTGTTTTTTTTTTTTCTCCTGCATGGTGAGGAGCATTGAGATGATAGCGGTAAGAAATCGACTATCACTGCGTTTTAGGGTTTTGAGATCTGAAACCTGAGTCCACCCCCTCTGTTTAAGGTTGGGTTTTCTTTCTTAGCATAGATGGCTTCTTCACACCCTGTCCAGGTTATGTCCACTGATTCCACACGAGTTTCTCTTGGTTTGTTACTTAAGGCTCAAAATCCCTAGAAGTTTAGAAAGTTTGACATGAGCAAAAAATGAAAAATTGACTCAAAATGGCCGAATTCCAGTGAGTTTTAGATCATACCTCCAACAGACTTCTTTTTCCCCCCCGTGATTTGGGGAGAAATACATGTGTATCAAGTGAAATAGATGGAAACATTATAAGAAAGAGAGTCTAAATCCTCTTTTCTTTTCTAAGCTGAACTCTTGTAACTACAAAAAGACAGAACGCGTCAGTATTATATTTATTAGTTTCTGACTCTCAGTCAAACTACTGCAGATTAGATCCACCTCAGCCGTTTCGCAACACCACATAAGTGAGATTCTTTCTTTTCATACCTAATATAATATTTCCTCACTTCCGTTCTCTGACCCGCCTTGGGCCTTAAAAGTTCAGAACCACCTCTTACCTAAACTCAACTCCTTTCCATTTAAACAAACAAGACCACAGGTTATGTAAGAACTTGCTGTTTTTGCTGCTAAACTCAAAGACTAAAGACTGAACTCTGCTGCCTTCCTCAGATAAACTTCCTTTTCTGCGTCATCTTTCCTCGTTGCATAATCAAAGCACTCCTTTATATTCTAATGGTAAAGGAACAACAGGTTGTTGGTATTCCAAGCACAAAAGGAACCAGTAAGGATTTTTGGGGGAATTTTTCTACTAGATCTGTGCCCATAGTAACCAGACATTTCGCTACACATGCTTGGAGAGACTAGTGTCAGCCCTCGTTAAATATTTAACTTTCGCATCTGAAGTCGAGCTCTCCAGTTAGACTATAACAGATAGATTATATAAATAGATGTGTTGGTAACACGCTGGTATTCAGCAGTTAAGGAGAGACTCAGAGAATATTCTTTAACTTTGGGCTTACAGGCTGGAAGGGTTACTTTTACTTGGAGTTGTCCCAAAGTCAGATTTGGGACAGCACTGAAGAAAAATGTTTAGGAAAGCAAGATGTGTAGCTTTAGCTTTGAGGAGTAACATTTTTTGATGGCAAAATATTAACTTCATGTGGCCATTCTCCCATTGTGGAATGTTTTTATTACAAATATCCCGGATTACTTTTAATTAATAGACCGTTATCGTAAAGCAGAATATAAACAATCGAAGATTGGACTTAAAATATGGCTTCAGGACCACCATAAGTATGGAGTTGCCGCTTTTTCATATTTATCTAATAATCAGTCCACATTATGTTTCCTATTTGTAATTTGTTGCTCTCTGTGTCCATAAAAAGTCAGCGGATTAATTTTGGACAATCTAAACTCTAAATTCTAACTGTGTGTAAAATGTCTATATTAGCAAAAGTTACATATGCGCTGTTTGGAGATATACACAACTGGGTGCACAGGCGGGTCTCAAGGGGTTAAAAAGTGAGGATTAGTGCCGTCAATTCCATTGGATTCAGTTTATTTACACATATAGTGCCAATTCACAACACGTGTCATCTGAAGGCACTTTACAGTTCACCAGACCATACAGTCAAATTGTTTCTTAAGCATGCTTGTATTGACAGCGGAGAGAAAAAGCTCCTTTAACAGGAAGAAACCTTCATCAGAACCAGGCTCGGTGTGAGCAGCCATCTGCTGAGGCCGACTGGGCTTCAAGGAGACAGAAAAAGAGATACAAAAAGGTAACTGTAAAAGGCGGCCCCGTCCAGGAAACACAGGCAGATGAGCTC